CACAAAGGAAATAAATAGCAGCATCTCTTTTCCTGACTGCATTGACTGTGACAGTTTTGTGCCTTCCCTGAGTTGTGTCCTTTAATTGAAGACACATGTGAGGCCAAAAACCTGTAAAGTTCATGCAGGAACCAAGACAGATGTTCATGTGCACATGGTTAGCATCATAGGTTCCTCCCTTTAGGATCATGACTTACCCTGAAGCTGCTTCTGTTCCCTCTAGCCCCACACAGTGAAATACAAAGAAATGCATTCCCATTGAGAAAACCCATTCTTCCTCAGTTCAGAAAAGATATTAACTGCTACAGTGAGTCAGAAATACAGAGGGGGAGAATGAGACAGAAACAGGGAGAGGCCATCTACTTTAAACAAGGCGAAGTGAGGATTCCTAGGTAATCAGGTTCTGATAGGCTTGTGATCATACCTTCAGTCTTCTCTAACAAAGTTTCCACTGAATTTGGAAGAAGATGAAGATAACTGGGTCAAGATAGTCAGTAGAGTTCCCTGCTTCTTGTTGACTTTAATAGTTTTAACTGTACATAATGCTTTCTACAGTAGATGGAGTTTTGGCTCTAATAATCAGTTACAGATAATATAACTGTCTCTCTGCAAAGCACATTTGCAACTTCTAGAGCTGGGCACCACCCTCTGGCTATGCCTGCCCTGAAAAGTCAGAAGGTTCTGATGACTGTTATTGACAAATCAAAAGTGTCCAGTGTCTGTGGAAAATTTATAAACAAAGAAACATTCTTTTTGTTTTGTGAAAGCCCAAAGATTATCTACAACTACCACTGAAAAAGTTCAGTCTTTGAGGTCTACATAACTTGGAAAAACTTTAAGTCAAGGTAGCAGGTTGAAATGATCTTATTAATGGCATATGACAGCATTTATTCTCATGATAAATTATAGAGATAAAATACTTTTATATTTTCCTTTTTATTTGAAAATCACTTTTATTTGAAAATAACAAATTGAGAGGAGATAGAAAATAATTATAGTATCATAGAGCTTTAGAGCTGGCAGGAACCCTTCAGGGATCATGGAGTCCAACCCCATCATTCTACAGATGAGGAACTGAGGCCAAGAAAGATTAAGTTACTTACTCAAGGTCTCATAGGTAGTAAATGGCAATTTTCTTTCAGATTTGAATGAAGGCCCTTTGACTCTAAATCCATCACTCTTTCCACCATACCACACTATTTATTAAATAACACCAACCCATGTAAAATCAAAGAATGGAATTGATACAAGATGTTATTATGTCATCTATGCCTTAACTTTCCCAAAATTATGATGCACAGAAGAGAATATTATGAATATTTTATTCAACAGAGACAAGCTAGGGAAAGAATTGCACAACATACTTGTAAGGTACTCACTGAATATAACTTCATCATCTGGCCTCAGATCTGACTACCTCTCTAAGATAATTGCAAAGATGATACCTTTCATTTCCACAGCATTTAGAATACCCAATAATATTTCTGTAGCCTGCTTTCCTACCAAGATAATAAACTAAAACTATGATCTTACCATTGCCTCTGGTCAGCTTTCAAGGATAACAGAGGTGAAAAGGAGGAGATTAAGACAAGTTTCCGCAATGGAGGAAACAAAATGAGAGTATCAGATCAGAAACCACTAACAGACATTTAAATCCAGAGGTATTCTTTAGGTAAGGTGGGACCTAGAAAGCATCTGATTCAAAAGGTGGCATCAATCCTCAGGTTGTTCTCAGAGTAACTACTGAACAGTCTTCCTCTAGTCTCAGCTGATAAGGAATACAGAGCTCTGATGTATTAATCCTTTGACTGATGCTTTCCTGATCACTGCATCCAACAATTGGACATGATCTCACTTTCTTGGATTGAGGGGCTACATCTAATCCAGAAGTTCCCAAACTTTCTCACTTCATGGCACACATTCTGTTTTATTTTTCAAAAACCATCATTATTCCTAATGAGGTGTACTGACACATAGTAGGCACCTAATAAGTGCTTATTGACTGACTGACTGACTTTTGGGCACTATACAACTTCTTGAATATGGAAATCATTTTGGATGCCACCTCCCTTATTTCCTGTTCCACATTAATTTTCATGCAGTACTTCCTTTTTTTTAATCACAGCCATTGGCAAAAATCCAGCCTTTCAAAGACATGCCTGCATAAGCAAAAAAGGTCAAAATACAAATAAACAAAGACATATCTCAAATATTTGAGAACATCATTAAAAGAAATGTAGTTTGATCAAAAGTTGAAATTACGAATTACTTTGAGCTAGTAGTTCATGAAGTGTTTGACAGATATTAAACATCACTGCTTCATTTGAGAATTTAAAATATCCCACACTGCAGCATCACTGAGAATGGTAGTACTGAAAGAAATTATAGAGATCATCTAGTACAATACCTTCATTTTACAGATGAGGAAACTGAGACCCAAAGAACTTGGCTTATCCTGATTCCTATTCAGGACATCTCAGTGGCACAATTGATAAGAGTGTCAGGCCTGGATTCAGGAAGACTTGAGTTCAAATCTGGCCTCAGATGCTTACTAGCCATGCGATCCTGTTTGCCTCAGTTTCCTCATTTGTAAAAATGAGCTAGATAAAAAAATGGCAAACCACTCCAGTATCTTTGCCAAGAAAACTCCAAATGGAGTCACAAAAAATCATACATGACTGAAACTATCAAACAACAACATCATTCCTATCCAGCCATTTCTTGCCTATTCCTATTACTTAACCACGCATGAGAGTAAAGCACTGGTTCTAAAGTCAGAGGACCTGGGTTTAAATCATATGCTCTGGGACTTATTTCCCATGTGACCTTAGGCAAGTCCCTTGTCCAAGGGACTTGGACCTCAGTTTCTTTATCTCTAAAAGGAGGGGACAGACTTGATGTCCTCTAAGGTCTTTTCCAACTTTACATCTATGGACTTATGAACATTTCTACTCATTTAAGCTACTAAAAATTATTATGCACAAGAAAAAAGCATTTTTCTTAATATTTATAATTCTAAATATAGGAGCTTAGATTTTAGATTATATAACTGCATGATATAACCTGACCTAGACTCAAACACCATCATAAACCATCTTTTAAAAGTGTTCCTAATTTTTTTCATCCATTGCTTCATTTGTCAAATTACTAGAATTTCCCTCTGAGATACTCTGGGAAGAGGCAGGACAGGTAGGAAGAGGCCTGGTGGAGTTGGGATTAATTTCAATTGAAGAAGTAGCCCAACATCCAACAAAGTTTCTGATGATGTGATTTTCTCTCCCTAAGAACACAAACCCCCCTAACAAATAAATATTCTTTGCTTTAGAGTGGAAGGGATGTCAGAAGTCATCTAGTGCTATGTACTGACAAACAATTCACTCTACCTTTAACTATGAAACTTCACCACCACTGTAATAAATATTACATGTTTATTTCCAGAACTCAAAATCTGCTTCTGAATTAAAGTTTTATTGTTCATTTTCCTTTCCACTCAATTTCTCTCTTCCTAACTTTCCTGTTACTGTTGAGACACCATCATCGACCCAGAACCCCAGGCTCATAATGTAAGTGTTACTCTCATCTCCTAGACTCAATCTCACCTTTCCCCCATATCCAGTCTGTTGCCAAATCCTACCATTGACAACATCTCTTGTACATCCCCCCTTTCTCCTCTGACATTGCATCACCCTGGTGCAAGCCCTCATCATGTCATGCCTGGACTATTATAATAACCTTCTGGTTGGTCTACTTGCCCTAAGTCTCTCCCAACTCCAGGCCATTATCTATTCAATTGCTAAAGAAATCTTCCAAAAGCACCATCCTAAAGGCCAGGTCACTACCTACATCCCTCAACAAATTCAGTGACTCTCTATTACCTCTAGGATCAAATATAAAATCTTCTGTCTTTTAAAGTCCTTCATAACTGACCCCTCCTGACCTTTCCAATCATCTTATACCTTACTCACTTTCACTTACCCTAAGATCTAACAACACAGGACTTCTTGCTGTTCTTTACCCAAGTCACTCCACGTCTCCAGATTCCAGGTATTTTCACTGGCTGTTTCCATGCCTGGAATTCTTTCCATCCTCAGCTCCATCCCCTGACTTTCATCATTTCCTTTAGTCTCAACTAAAGTCCCACCTTCTATAAGAAACCTTTCCTGATTCCCCATCCAATAAGCTTTTATTAAATGCCTAAATGTGTGCAAGCTCTATTCTAGGATCCCCCTTAATTCCTTTCCTCTGTGATTATTTCCACTTTGTCTGGGATATAGCTTGTTTGTGGATAGTTATTTTCATGTTGTCTCCCCCATTAGACTGAGAGCTTCTTGAGAGCAGGGTCTATTTTTTTACTTTCTTTTCATCCCCAAAGCAAGTATCTGGTACATAGTAGGCATTTAATAAATGCTTGCTGATTTCACTTGACATTTAGTCTGTGTGTTTGAGAACATTTTTCTGTATTATTTTCATGATGGACATGTCTTTTGTGTTTGATTTATTTTATGTTCTGATCTTAGTGGTGCTATTAACTTTAAAGGCACTTAAGAGTTTGGGGCTTCTGTTTGCAGATTAGTAAACGATTGCAGCAACTATTAGGAAAGTGAGAATGTCACATGTAGGTAGATGCAGGAGGGAGACTGGGAGAATCCAGATCTTTGAAGCACATGCATGGTATCTTTCTGGCCCACTGAAGTGTCTCAATGAATATGCTATTTGTATTGCTTCCATCATCTCATTTCTGAGTTTTAATTTCCTTCACTTAGGTATTCATTTTTAATTAGTTGCTTTACAAGAATAAGCTTATAAAAACCTTGTAAATACATAGTAGTTAAACAAATAAAACTTAAGTACCCTTTTCTTTGCCAAAGTAGGGGGGAACAAGTTTTTTCATGTTTTTTCATGTTACTTATTTTACATTTTCCTCATATAAAGAGGAATAGTCACACTGGAGAAGACTTTGAACTTCCTTATCAAACAAACATGTATCCATTTACCTTTCATATGTTTTCCATCATCCTTTTCGCCATCTCACCCAAGCTGTTTGTATTTAAGCTGGCCTCTGCTCTTTTTGAGTTTGACTTCTTCATCTATTCAATCCTGCAATGAGGTTGAAATGCTAAATTTGATCAAAATTTGGTTGAGAAACAGTTGAGAGCAACAATCTGTTCCATCTTATTACAGTCAACCCTGGCCTCATGACCTCATTGCAGAAACAAACTAAGGCAAAAGTTCACACAAATTGTTCAAAAATTGTTAAAAACTTATCTTTTTATAATTAGAGAGAAGCAAAAATAATGGTGATATGCAAGTGTGGCACATAAATGTGGCCAAAAGAATGTAAACTCCATGAGGGTTGAACTTTTTGTTTCATTTCTGTCTTTGTATTCTAATGGTAAGCATAGTGTCTATCACATATATGTTCATATCACATAGTAGTCAGATAGGTGACATAGAAGACTGAATGCTGGACTTGGTATCAGGAAGACCTGAGTTCAAATCCTGCCTCAAGATACTTCCTAGCTGTGTAACCCAAGACAAATCATTTGATCTCTCTTAGTCTCAGTTTTCTCATCTGTAAAAAAGAGAACCTACCTTATAGGGTTGTTGTGAAGATCAAATGAGACAACATGTCAAACATTTTGCAAACCTTAAGGCACTAAGTACTAGCTTATGAATAATTGCTTTCTTGAATATACTTCTTTTTATGCAAATGTCCTCCATATCTACATGTGTGATAGTCTACAAGGGTCATTTACAAGAGAGAAGATGGGCATCACCACATGGTACCCTTAAATAAATACACCACTTATGATATTCGCCTTGTATTGGAGTCATTTGATCAGATGGCTTTAATTTGGATATTCAGGTTATGAGGCAGAGGGTGGAGGAGGGAAGAGGTTAACCACATTCTGTGGAACCACAACCAGATTTTTGGCATCTGAAACAAAGACAAACAGATTACTAGATGGTGCAACTTGGGTACATATGCATTTTATGTGCATGGGTCTACGTATTTGTATTTTTCTCTATTGTAGTAGATTAAGGTTGAATCCCATGGCACTATACTATCTGTGTTTATAGCTAGAAACCACAGTCATACTGAATGCATTTATAACTAAGTGCACAATTCACAGCTTTATCACTTGTTTTATGAGTCCATTTGGTTTGGCACAGAGAAAGCAATTAATCAAATGTAGCTTTTCAGGATCTGGTCTTTATTTGTCCATCGACATTTCATCAGTACTAACAGCAGAAACTGCTTATTTATTAACAGTAAGCATTTCTCATTTTGTCTCAAGGAGATATATAGTATAGTTACATGGAAACAGAATGGTATTCAGTAGATGGTTGCACAACTGCAGATGCCTTTTCCTGACACCATCATGGCTAAGGAGATCCAACCAAATGAAAAACAGTTCTGATGAAGTGAGAAACAGAAAAGCAGTACCATGCAAATGTTATTACATAGTAAAATTCAGGCCAGCACACACTTTTTGTTCTTCCCTTTATTAAGTTTACATGAATTCAGAAGAAAAGGGTGAAAATATAGTTACCCCAATCAAATTATTCTCTAGATAATTTAAGGCAACTTGTTCAACAGTTATTCTTAAAAGGTTTCTTTTATTTTCCTGCTCCTATTTTAGTTCAGGGTCATTTATAGCAAAGCTAAACTCTTGGTAATTGAATAAACAGGATATGCCAAATGCTATTTTTCTAGACTAGCACAAGAGGCAGCATGACATAGTAGACAGAGGTACAGGCTTAAAGTTGGAAAAATATGGGTTCAAACCCTTCCTCTAATTCATAGTAGTTGGGGACAAGTCACTTAACTTCTCAGAGCTTCAGACATTTCTCTAACATTATAAGTAATCACTGAATGTCCAATAGGTCTGGGAGAAGTTTACACACCACAACTTCCCACACCAATGAAATTATAAGTGTGAACCCTCCCTCCAAAAAAAAACCCTATAGCACAAGGTGATAGATGAACCGTTCATATGAAGGGCAGTATACTGTCCACATAATTCCCAAGTTAAAATATTTTCATGAGACTCATCTTAACCTGTTTCGACAGCCATACTAAAGTGTCCACCCTGCTCCTCTGGGATCCACGCCAACCATGCAATGCATGAAATCATGGGATATGTTATGATGCTATCCCTGAATGATTTCCAACATAAGTTATATTTAAAGCATTATACCACAGGGAGGAGAGTACCCCCGAAGTATTCTTAAAGTACATGCAGATGTGTTTTTTTAATGTGTAGCACAATAAATATTATATATTCTATTGGAATGTAGAAGGTATGCATTGAAATAGCAGAATATTGGGCTATGAAAGCATTGAATAAATGAGTTAAGCATATGTATATTAGGAAATATGTAATGAAATAGTAATTTATTCTTACTACTATATGTGTATACACATGTATGCATATCCATTTAGTTGATTGTTTCAGTTGAAATAATTACAGGTATGCATATTTACTCTTATTTGATTAATGCACCTGTGTTGGAATGGCATAAAAATAAATTCCTTTCCAATAGGAGTTTCATAATTCCAGCAAATTCAACCGAGCTGTTCTACTTCTTTTGGGTTGGCCAACCAACATCCTAACAGCTGAGTGTGGTTATAAGAACAATTCCAATTCAGCATATTTTCTTCAAGGGGGTCATACTTTGTGAATAAACCTCACTGATTCAACTGAACATTTCTGAGGGAATTTTTGAGACTTCTGGGTTTCCAATGTCAAATGGCTTCGAACTGCCCCCAGCAAGATTCAAGAATATTTGGGAGGAACATGAGTCTATCATAAGACCTGGAGCACTTTGATTCTGAAACCCCTGCTGCTCCTGAATCTTCAAATTTCAACAGAACTGGCATTCGCCCAGGTGAGAGTCACTCAAGAATGCTTTGTGCACTGTTTCTTCCAGAAGACCATGTGTTAGACCAGGTTTATACACTATGAGATCCATCTTCCCCCTTCCCCTTGTGCATGCTGTGTTTTTCTCAGATGCTGAGACAAAGAAGATAAAGATGAGATGAAAAGAGCCTATTACCATAAGCAGCAGAAAAAGCAAGGTGATAGAGGACATGTTTTCCTAATTTTTAGTTCTCTTTGGTTTCACTTGCCACCTGAGTTGACATTTCATTACAAGGAAATCCTGCTATTTCCTATGTAACTATCAATTAATCAATAAATAGACACTTATCAAGTATCAACTGTGTAGCAGGCATTGTGCTAGGTACTGAGCATACAGAGACAAAATGAAAAAACATCCCTGTCATCAAGGAGCTTAGATTCTGTCAAGAGAGGAAACTCATGTCATATATGTAGCCTTCAGAGACTCTGCAGGGTCTTTCCTCCAACTTCCAAAATTGAGTCTCCAAAGGTCAATTATATTTTCATCTTTCATTATCATTTTAGGGAGTAACCTTGAGGTATTGTAGGATGTGCTCAAATGTGCTCAAACACCAATCCAGCCTATTCCCTATTCCCAAATAATTCAAACAGTTATCTCTTTACTTTTACAAAGGGATATTTACTGAGAAGATATAGTAAGAACAGAATTACAAACCCATTTAATTCCTCCCTCCTCTGAAGTGTGAGTACACACTTCTATTTGTCCCCACCAAATTCATTTCTGAATCCAGCCCAGCCAATGGTTAGAGTCATTCCAGTTCTCTTAAGACATAGAATCTTGGCTGATGTTTTGATCTACTGCTGAGGAAGCAAGTCCTCCACCAGGCTCAGATACTGGAAAATTCTGGTATGGATACAGTTCCTTTACCTCTAGTGGCTCTTCTGATTTTTCAAAGTTCATGAAGCTGTAGCTGTAGCTGTTCCATCTTGAATACTCTTTTATATAAGAGTGGGAAAGAATTAAGTATAGCTGATACAGAAAAACAACTATGCCATGCACTCATGGTCTCAGGTTGACTTGGGTAGGGAGAATAGGCCATTAACTCTATCTATCTCTCTCCCCTGACCCAGGGAAGGTCCAAATTTATAACAGTCCTTGCCTCAGGCACCAGCAGAAGAGAGAGATTGAGTTGACTGGTTAGAGCTATTTTGTTTGTACCTGCAGTTCTGGCTCAGCAGCCCACCAAAATGCTTTTCTTCACCATTAAGGAAGGGTTCAGGAAATAGTTACAGAATGGGTGTCTACACCCTAAAGTGGCCTGTCTATTGCTCTTTCTCACACACTTCTAGAAGTGGGCTCACCCTCTTATGCATGCTCCCAGGATATGGCAAGTCAGTCTATGTGTGTGTATGTGTGTGTGTGTGTGTGTATATGTAGATAGATAGATAGATATAAACATATAGATATATAGATATAGATATATACACACATATATATGTATATATGCATATGTGTATCATGATATATGTACTTATATAAATAATACATACAAAATATATACTAACTAAATTCAAGGTAAATGGGGGAAGGGCACTAATAGCTCAGGAAGTTTTCCAGGTTTTCCCCAACAGTAGATAAGGAAAAAGATGAAGTTAACAACTTTATCTGTGTATGACAGTTGATCAATAAAGCCAAACTAATAAAATTATTAATAAAATCAATAAAAATCAGTCAGTTAATTAAAGCAGGTCTCCACATAGAAGAGTCAGCCTAAGTGGAACTAAGATTTGAGGAATCCCAGCTATGACAAACTTCACCAATTGGCCTGCCTGAAATGCCCAACAGTGCATTGAAGCAATGTAATATTGTGACATGAACACCAAATTTGGATTCCTGGTTTTTACTCTAGTTCTGACACTTGCTAATTTTATAACCTTATACAGGGCAACTGACTCAGTTTTATCACTTGCAAAATATGGAGAGAATAATATCTGTTTTACCACCTACCTGACATATTGTGAATGAAGTGCTTTATAAACTTTAAAGAACTATATAAATAGTATTCCAAGGAAGCAAAAGAGGATTATTATAAGGTATTCTGATAGACACCTAATACTACCTTTATCTGCTCAATCATTGGCAGAACCCATTAAATGAGTGGACAGATGTGGAGAGAAGTAAGTTGAGATGGTAAGTAGGAGAATTAAATGAGCAAAATTAGTGTGAACTAGTAAAGAATGAGGTCTATCTACATTTCTAGAAGTCCACTGAGTGTTACTTGGGAGAAAAGAGAAGTAGAGATAAAGGATAAAACATTTCCTCAGAAAAATGATAAACCTAACCTCAAAGATGACTGAGAGAAGCTTTTGGAAGGATGTTGTCCTTTTGTATTTAGAATTATTCACTGCTTTGATCAGCTTTTAATTTAATCAATAATTCAATGATTATGTGAGTTATTTTAACATTTCATGGGCCTAGTGTTGAAGTGATGAGGAAGGGAGAGGAGAGGAGAACAACCTTGGCCTTCTGTGTGTGGTGAGAAGCCCAATGACAATATAATTCATGATTAGTCATATGGACAGGTGGGGCAAGATAGATATATGTATTGATGGTATTGAAAAAGAGGAAATGTCTTATTATTCTGCCTAGGGCCAATTTTGGATGAAAAGATGATATTAAAGGGGCAATTAACACCCTCAGAAAGTCTTTGAATTTTTTTTATAACAAAATTGGTATTAGACACAAAAATCCATCTTGTAACATGAATATTCTCTAGGGAAGGTAATATAGATGCAAATCATGAAACACTACTCTCTCCAAAGAATCAGAATTGTGGGTAACCTAAAGAGCAATAGAAAGATACATGTAGGGGTGGGCTAGTAAATGCTCATCAACCAGCTCTTGAGAAAAATAATGTACACAGAACACACTTTTAAATTTAACCTGCATTATTAACACTTTCTCCATCAACTTAAGTCTATAGAACCAACAGAACTATAAATCAAGTCCTGTTTTATAGTTTTGTTGATTTCTGAGTTGTTCATACTCACAATGAAAATTTAACAATCAGTTCTTGTTAAAGGGCTCAAACCAAGCTGGTCTGAGCTTTCTCCAGCATACTGCATGCATGGTAGGTATAAGCTGGTGGTGACTTTCTTTTTTAAGTAATTTTGTGGATACCTTGTTTTTTTCTCTCAGTATTCCTCACTGCTTCTAGAGAGCCATCCCATATAACAAATATTGTGAAGGGAAAAAAAGAAAAAGAGGAAGATGTAAAACTAATAAAAACTGAACAATACATTGCAAAAGTCTGAAGATATATGCAATGTTTTATACCCATAGACTGCTTATCTCTGCAAAGCAGTGGGGTAGGGATATCATATCTTTTCTTTGGGGTCATGCTTATTATTTGAAATTTTGAAATATTCACTCTTATGTTGTGGTAATTGTTCTTTCCACTTACACCACTGTAGCCACTGGGTATATTGGGTTTTTTGGCTCTAGCTCTATTAACTACACTCAGCATCAGATCATGTAAGTCTTTCCATGCTACTCCATATTCATGACATTCATCATTTGTTATGGTACAGACATATTCCATTATATTGATGTTCTGCAATTTGTTTACCCATTCCCAATCAATGGACATCAATTTTATTTCCAGTTCATTGCTACCACAATAAATGTTGCTATAAATGTTTTGGTAAGTATAGAGACTTTCTTCTTCTCAATGACTGCCTTGGGATATGTGTCTTGTAGTGGAACTTCTAGGTCAAAGGGTACAGACATTTTAGTCTCTTTATTTGCATAATTCTAAGTCACTTTCCAAAATGTTTATACCAATTCATAGCTGTACTATAAAATCTTTCCAACATTAACTATTCCCACCTTTTGTCATCTTTTCCAATTTACTAGGTGAGGTGAAGCCTCAAAGTTGTTTTGATTTGCATTTCTCTTATTTCACATGGTTGTTGATTGTTTGAAATTCTTCTTTTGAAATTATTCATATCCTTTGATCGTGGCTATGAGTAGTTTCCAATGGTGACTTACATGCAAGGAGTTGTATAAACAATATAATTAAAGAAATATGTGATCAGAAGAGGAGATGGGCTGATTCTTGTCATGAGAACAAGGAATAATACCTAGATAGACTAAGTGTTGCATTGGTATACATGCTAGGTTAAAGGACCTAAAAGATCTTCCATGTGTTTAATAGAACCTCTGTGGCACGAGTTCTTAACCTGAGGTCTATGAAATTTTTAAATATATATTTTGTTAACTATATTTCAATATAGTTGGTTTACTTTATAATCCTATGTATTTTATTTTATGCATTTAAAAATATTACTCTGAGGTAAGGTCCAAAGGCTTCATGAGACTACAAAAGGAGTCTATGTCACAAAACAAAAATTAAGAACCCTTGTGTGTGGAGAGGAATTTGACAAGAATCATACATCATACATCATGACATTAGAATCTGCACTACACCAATGGAAGCATATATGAATCCATTCAAAGAAGTACCATGAAACATGCATCATTCTAATCTTTTGAAAAACACTAGGCCAAAATAGCCCTGACCCAGGATTACCTGAAGATGGGGAAGGGGGAGATGTTGCCAAGCTCTGGGGACCCAGTTCATTAGTGGAAATATGAATAAGGATGAGAATGCCTCAAAGCTTACTTAGACCATAACATAATAGCCAGTCAAGGAAGTTAAAAAGAAAAAGATTGTCACATAGCAGTGAAGGCCCATTTGAAATTATAGGTTATCAATGTGTAGTGGATGTAGTGAGCACAGCTGTGTGACTTCATTAGTATTCAATGTCATGCATATGGGAGCTGAGAAGCAGCTCTTCTGTTAGGTCCAAGATTTAGCAATTAGGTAACAATGGATTAGGGATTCACTTTCCTTTGAGGTAATTTCCCTTTATTTACAGTATAATTTCCTTTGTACATATCATTTGTGTCTCCTCATATGACACAAAACCCTCTCCTCTGGAATGCATCTTCTAAAAGGTCTAAAAGGTCAAAACAGTGCTTTGATATCCGTTCTACTTCTTGACAAGAAGGCTGAGCATCCCCTCACCAATGAACAGTATACTCCCTGTTTATGCAGGGATGTCAAAGAACCCCAGTTGTCTTCCAGTCTAATAATGGCTAAATTTTATGTAGCAATTTAAAGTTTATAGTAATACACATATATGTAATCTCATTTTATCCTTATAGCAATCCTGTGATGTGAAGGCTATTGTTATATCCATTTTACAGATGAGGAACCTGAGTCTGAGATGTTAAGTGAATTTCCCAGGGTCACACACCAAAAGTTGTCTGATATAAGTTTCAAACTTAATCTTTCTGACCAAGTCCAGTGCTGCAATCATCTATGTTACCTAGCTACCAACTTTTCTTGAGAGTAGCCTAACTACCTAGTATTTTTCAATGGTAAATAATGGTCATCACCTCTCATTACATTCCCAACCAGCTCACAAAGCAAATATGCTCTGAAGGCTTGCCTTCAATTCTAAATCTGCTTAGGAGTAGTGTGACTGGAGCTGGGAACTCAGAATCTTTGCTCTGGCTCAGGTAGACTACTCAAGAAATTTTATTAGCTATTCTTCACAACCTTTATCATCATTTTTCAGTTGAAGTGCACATTAAGTGACGAGATCACTTTGGCTCATTATTTAAGAATTGTCCCAGTGGAGTATATAGAAGTTGCAGCTGCTACAAGCATGGCAGCCTGCCTAATCCCAGGAACTGATTACCAAGATCTGATTGCTGCAACATTCCATCATCCACATAATGGCTGACCACTAGAGTATTCAGTGCTAGACAGTGACCTTCCATTTTTAAGATCCTTAGGGTACAGAAAATGTACAAGGTGAGTATAAGGTTTGAGTAAGTCTGGAATAAAGTGAACTAGGGGCTAAATAGTTTTCTTTTTAAAAATTTGATCTCTTTTATTTTTACTTTTACCTACAGTTCTTCTTCTAAGTCTGACTTTTCAATGATTCCAGATTTCCTGACTCAGAGCCTACTCTTCACCTCATTCCTCCTCATCCACACACTGGGGTCTCCATGGTTAACTGTCTTCAGAAGTTGTTTGCCTCATCTCTTGTTCCATCTCTCTCTCTCTGTCTCTCTGTCTCTCTGTGTCTGTCTATCTCTCTCTCTGTCTCTGTGTATGTGCCTGTGTCTCTCTTTGTCTCTCTATCTGTCTCTCCCTCTTCTCCTACTCCCATCTCAAAATGCTCATCCTATATATCAAGTTCCCAGACCTGTACCTGTCATCCAATTCTTTCTGTAATGGTTTAAGTGTATCTGTACAAGGCCTTTCCAAGCCAGGATGTCTATGCCTTTACTAAAACAACTGGATCTCTAGTTCTAAACTTGAATTCCCTAGTGAACCCATCTTTAGATCACCACTACTGACTGCTAAGCAGACAAAGACACTACTAGGAATAATAGATCATAGGCACTTCCTCTACATACAATCACTTCCCTAGCTCTATGTGGCAAATCATTGGCTCTTCTTAGGCCTCTCCCCCTGACAGTGGATATGAAGACATAATGTTATAACAGAACAAGGATAGGGACTAGACCTGTAGTTTCTTTAGTATAGAGAACTCTCAGATTTGAAAGCTCCCTTTGCCAATGTTGGTCTGCACCTTTTCTGCAATGTGTAGAACTGAAGAGTTGCTTAGAGCACTGAGAGGTTAAGTTACTTACCCAGGATCACACATCCAATTGGTGTCAAAGACTGAATTTGAACCTGGATCTTCTTTACTTCTTTACAACATTTGACCTGCTTTATCATAATGCCTCTCAGGTTGTAACAACTGCTAAAAAAAATTGTACAAACAAAAAGCATCATTGTCACATTCTTGCTTCTCTCCCTCTCTGACTACCTTACTCCAATAATGAAGTTGGGCTTTTTTCTGTTTATTGTTTTTGTAGCACATATTTTAGCCCTGAAGTAACTGGTTTCCTTGTCAAAATTCTTTTCCCTCTCCAATTGATCCTCTCCATGGCTATAAAATTGATATTTCTAAGTCATAGATGTAATCATGTCACTCTCCTATTCAAGAAGCTTCAATATTTCCCTATCACCTCTAGAAAGAAAAAAAAAAACACTTCTGTCTAGCATTTATTTACAATAAGCCTCTGACCTATTTTTCCAGACTGATTTCACATTATTCTTTCTCACACACTCTACATTCTAGCCAAACTGGCCTACTTATTGTTTCCAGCCCCAATGCCCTTGCACAGACTGCCCTCATACTTGGAATGCCCTTGCTCCTCACTTCTACTTCTGGGAATCCTGAGTTTTCTTCAAGGCTCAGCTCAAGTGCCACTTCCTACCCAAAGCCATTCTTGGTGCTCCCAGTTGTTAGTGCTCTTCCCTCTGAAATTAATATGTAAATAATGTATATTTACTTAATTGCATATCACCTGTCTCCCAGACCACCACCACCACCATTAGAATATAAGTTTCTCAAGAGACAGAGACTTTAATTTTTGTCTTCATATCCTCAGCTCCTGGCACAAAGTAGGTATTTTAAAAATATTTGTTGTAGTGAACTACATCAGACAGAGAAGACAGTGACATCTATTCCTTTCTTATATTACATTCTTTGTAGAGAGTAAAAAAAAAATTTAGAGAAATCCTAAGATAAATATAAGAGTTTTAGATTATGTGTCATGCATAGGTTCAACAGAAGCCTTGATATCAGTCCAGATCCTGAAAGCTCTAGGACCTATCACAGAGATTTTTATTTGGGGAAATTTGAGAAGGAAATATAGAAAAAGAACTTTGCTTCTGAGACTTCAAAAGAGGTCGGGACTATAGCAAATAAATAAAAAACTAAAACAATGATGGAATGTGTTGCTGATCTAACCAGAGAAAAATGATTGAAGCCAATAGCAAGGGGGGAAAATCTCTAAACAAGTTCCTACCAATACTGATAAGAAGACTCCTTGTTTCCATTTATCATGGTAGGGTCTCTGGATCCCAATATGGACGCACCAAATTGAGAACTCCTATATTTATTGTCTCTACCCCTTGTTGTGTATTACAAATGCTAAAAAAAAAAAAGCTACATGTTGTCATGAAAATAAAAGAAGCACATAAAGGATAGCTGATTTAAGGAATCAAGATGTTATTCAAATTTCAAAATTTTGTAACATTCAATGGGTTGGGTATCTCTAAATTTCAAGCCTTCAGATTGTTGGTCAGTGGATATTGGCAAGGTCTTGAAGGAGTTTACAAGTTCTGATTACGGAGTTGCTTCTGTAGCTGGGTAATTCAATATGGTGACACAAAAAGTTCAAAGATAGATTAAGTGTTCTATGCACCCTAAATCCAGGCCTCCTGTTATTTTATGTAATCAAGGCAAAATTCAGATTTGGAATTTATCCCAACATGCTCCTTAGGAACAGAAAGATATACATTATTCAAGTATAAGTTGCAATAAACAATAAAACAGTTACTATTCTTACTGGAATTTTGATATTTGGCTTCTAGCCACTACGCTGCTGTTACTGTCACTAATATGTTCCTGTCATTGTAACAAGTGCTGTCATTTATCAGGTGTTCATCACTTTCAAATAAAACTAAACTTGAAAATAAATTGAAAGCAAAGCTTCGTAAGATGTCCGCAGACTTTATAATTAAGATGTTTGGCAGGGATAAATATGTTCTGGCAACATCACTCATCTCATATTTCAAGGGCAAAATTGAAACCATACTTCCAAGGGGTGCAAACATTGATTGGTATATGTTCTTATAAACAGGGTACTACAAACAGTGCTACATCATTTTCTTTGCCCTCTTTTACTTTCACGTGAAGTTCAAGAATATATCACGTAAAGAAAGCTTCTGAATTGAATTCAGGAAAGAGACAACAATCCAAATGGCAAAAGCAGAGAAACAGCATGCAATAGAAGTAAATATAAAAACAAAAGTAAAGTCACATGACAGATGCAAAATAATCTTAGTATCCATGATCAGAAATGATATGACATATAGAATGGAGTGCTAGACTTGGAGTCACGAAGACCTAGATTCAAATTGTCTCTGATATTTACTAGGTGTGTGTCCCTAACCAAAGACACAATCTCTAGATGCCCTAAGCAGCTTCCTGGGTCTTATCTGCTAAGCCTTGAATAGGATGCAATCTACATTGGTGGTACAAGTTCCCACATCTAAGACTCCCTATGCTGAGGAAATCATGGATGCTTTGAATATTTGCACGTTCATAATCATAAATGGATCAATGATCCCAAAGCACAGATAACCCCAAGGCAGTATTTTAGTTTTGAGTTTAAACCTTATCATTTCAACAGTGTTTGAATGAATTATGATTGTTTCTAATATTGTGTCAATCAAGTCACCATATTCCCTATGTGATTTTTTATTCAAGTGAGTATTAAGATCAAACATTTTAAATATACCCAAATAGTACACTGCCCCAATGGTGTGATGCTAAATTAACTCAAGCAAAAGTTCCAAAATGGTTGTTCTTTCTCTTTATTAGTCTAAAATAAATGTAATACCAGACCTACTATAATGTAAAGGTTACTTGCACAGAACATAACTGAAGTGGGTATTATATGTAATTGCACAATTTTATGAAACCTTAAAAGTCCTTCATTACTTTCTATAACATTCATGTCTTTGGTAATTTTTAGCATAATATAGTCCATATGAATATTCTTTTCCCTCAGAAACCATGCCATCTCTAAAAACTAAATTCTGCTGAAGACCAGTTCCTAGGTTTGTTGGGAACAAGAAAGGTATTAAATGTATTAAAGAACAGAAGATTGGTATTTGCTGGAGGGCTGGACATCTATTTATTTAAACTAAGTATAGTTAGTGGTAATATTGCCATCTTCTTTCTAAATAATTTGGAGGTGAGGAAGAAAACATTTGAGTTCCCAGGCACCTGGAACAATGATTAGCTTTGTGGTTGGAATCACTAATGGTCACATCAGGGTCATGCTTAAAGTAACCCTAGAGGGACCACTATAAAGGAAGATCATTTCGAGTAGTGAACTACAGGGATTCATCTCTTATAATAACTCAGCTAAAACCATCAACTCTAGTTCCCAAGCACAAAATATTGCCATCAAAGGCCATAAACTATAACCTTTCCCTAGAAGAACAAGCATTGATTGGCTCACCTAGTATTTCCAATGTTTCAACCAGAGATATGGTCTTATTGCTGTTATAATTGCCTATTTTAATAAAGCTGGGCTTTCTCAATTGACAGTCAAGTTTTCAAATGCAAACCATTTTTACATGTTACATTTTGCATTCCTTAGAAGTAAATACTATTTTTACCTTAGCTGATGTTTGTTTATAAAATTCACTGAAAAAAATATACCACCTTCGTCTTTACCCAGAGAAGGTAAAAAGCAGTATAGGATAAGGAGCCCCAGAAACAGAGAGTTACTTCAAAGGAAAAAAGCAATATAAACCCACCTGTGGCCATCCTTTACCATGGAGTTTCTGCACAACAGGGAAGAGAGCCACATAGCCTCATTTCTTAATGCCAATACATTTCTATAGTCTTCTAACATATGTGTGTATGTGTGTAAAAAAAAAAAGGCACTGAGGTAGTATCTGGGGGGAGGAGCCAAATATTGTCATCTAATGAAATAATCAGAAAGGAAATGGTATATAGCATAAAGACAGACAGAGATTGATTAGGAGAAAGCCATGCTCCCAAGGAGGAAAACCTGAATAGAGTAAAATGAATAGGGAAATCAGAAAAGGTTATAACACAATGAAAAAAAATATCATATTCTGATAGAAAATCATCTTTAAGACCGCAATGGGAAATAAATGAAGACAAGTAATTCTCTAACAAATGATTGGAAAATAGCAAGATATTCGTGAATGTCTCAAAAAAATTAGAAAATTTTTAAAAAGAATGAGGATTGAAGTTAAACCTAACATTATTAAGGAAATAAGAATTCTCAAAAAGGAAATCAGTTAGACAAATGAGAGAATACATAATTTGGAAAACACGATGGAGAATCTCTCCAGGACAATATAATCTGGCCAAAAAAATTTATAATAATAGACATGGAACTCAAAAGCACATATTTCAAAGAAAATTTGGTGAAACAGAGTCAAAGGATGGCAGAATTCAAATAATACTTGAAGTGTTATAAGTTAAAGAAACTGGCCTTGGGGGCAGCTAAGTAGTATAGTGGATAAGAGCACAGGCCCGGGAGTAAGGAGAACCTGAGTACAAACCTGGCCTCAGACACTTGACACTTACTAGCTGTGTGACTTTGGGCAAGTCACTTAACCCCATTGCCTAGCCAAAGAGAGAGAGAGAAAGAGAGAGAGAGGGAGAGACTGGCCTTGAGGAGAGGATTATAGAGCTAATTTCATATTCGTAGGTGTTTCAGAAGGACATGATGAAATGAAATGCTAAACACCATACTTAGTAATGCAAGGAAATTTCCCATAAATATTAGAAGCACCAAGTAAAGTATTGATTGATAGAACACAGAAATCAACAACAGAAAGAAACTTAAACTTAAATCACCATGAGTATAGTGATTAAATTATATAATTTTCAATTCAAACAAAATATTAAAGACAGTCAAGAGCAATATATTTTATCTGTGAAAGAAAATCAATTCAAATAGCCTGGAATGGCACCCTATCTGTGAGACATAAAAGCAGATTTGGATATAATATTCCTTAAAAAAAAAAAAAGAAAGAAAGAAAGAAAGAAAAGGAGACTGGAATGTGACTTAGAAAGATATGTTTTACACAGCTGATGTTTTTTTAATTCAATAGAAAAAAAAACAGACATCCAATGAAAGGGAGATATTATGGTTATCCCTTTAAGAGAAATAAGAAATAAATGGGTTATTCAACAACAACAAAAAAAAATACTTCAAGGAAAGGCAAGTTAACAAAACAAAAAACTAAATAATGAAACCAAAACTAGTTCATGATTCTCAGGCATCACATGGCTATTGTTTGTTTTTTAACTTACATTGGTTATCAGCCAAAGAAAACAAAGAATGAAGGAGCAATAAATAGCACTTCTAGACATCAGATTACATTATAAAGCAATATAAAACCTGTTACACTAAGCTGTCTCATAGAGATTATGTATTACTATTACTATATCTTTAAAAGCCAAATGGAATTCTACAATGGAATGTTGTGGAAAAGGCAGTTGGAAGTTTCTGTTAAAAAAAAAGAATTGTTATGAAGTATTTAAACCTATGGCATAAAGGAGAAAGTGTGTGGGGTTCTTTTTAATTTTGATACACGAGAATTAACAAGAATTGAGTTTGATAAAGAAGCTGTCATGCCTAGAGAGAACTGTGGAAGACTTAGTGAAAGGAGATGGAGAGAATTTTTCTGAG